TGAAGCGTCGACCATTTCTGGCCGGCAACTGTCAGCGTCATTAAGCCGCTGCGCCACCACATCCCCCAAGTGAGGATTACATACACTGAATTACATACTGCAGGGAAATGTCATTTTGGTAAAAAAAAAAAAAAAAAAAAAGCTAGCCTTCCAATAAAATAGATAATGATACACATTATCTCAATCCTTTGAAGAAGAACTAACTTTTTATATCTTCTAACCACAGTTCAAATTGACATCAGTCTGATCACTTACATTTGCTCCTGCTTCAAGAAGTATCCTAGCACATCCTACGTGATCTCCAAGGCATGCCTCATGCAATGGGGTCACTTGATCAATGGTTAAAGCATCCACATTGTATCCCTAAAAGAAGAAACTAACAATCACAACCAGTCTCCTAACTATTCAGTTTCTTAATGAAAGATAAACTATATAACAAGAAGTCTTTATAGAATATTTGTGTAACATACACTTTTAACATTATTCAAAAGGAATGCGATTATGAAAAAGAATGCTATAGTTCAGAATATTTTTTGGTTTGATTAAGTATTGTAAACCGCAGTATGAAACCATGCTTGTTGTTCACCAACTAATTGCAATCACTGCTTTTTGCAGTTAGCTGGCCCACTCTTGTTTGTTTTTTTGTCCCATCCTAATTTTTAATCCACAGAAGCTCAAGGCAACTCTGTCTTTCAGTATGTGGAAACAAATCAAGAATCAGCCACATAGAGCATGATCGCTTTGCTTGTCAAAAAAAAATCTAGGTTGTGCTACATCCTGGTTTGTTTAACCACAGATTGTTGGAGAAGCCAGTGATTCAGTTCAGGGTTCTCAACCTTTTTTTGCTCATGGCCCTCTTCTGAGCTTCATTTACCTGTGATCCCCCTCATTGTCGCTGTTAGCTGGACACAAGGAACTTTACCACTGCACTGTTTATTCATTTAAACTGTATCATATAAAGACTATGGTCTCCTAGAAATGCCCTCCTGGCCCACATTGAGAACCACTTCTAGTTTCTAGAAATTCTAGAAACGAATTCTAGTTCATATATAACTAGAATCAGGTATGAATCTTACAGGTGAAACTCGAAAAATTAGAATATCGTGCAAAT